CGCAGTCCGACCTCGAGGAGGGGGACGTGTACCTCCTCGACGTCGGCAACGCCGTCTTCGTGTGGGTCGGATCCGAGGCGAACGAACTCGAGAAGGGCATGGCGGCGGAGACGGCCGCGTCGTACGTGGCGTTGGAGGGGTACTCGGCCGACACGGCCGTGCTCACGGTCAAGTCGGGCTCCGAGCCGCCCATCTTCACCTCGCACTTCCTCGGCTGGGACGCGTCCCGGGTGCACAGCTCAACCTCGGCGCAATCTCGACGTGGCGACAGGCGCGTCTCTGACGCCGCCCACGGCACGCCACTCAGGCGAAGGTCTTTCTCGACCCCTACGAGGCGAAGCTGGCCAAGGCGATGGCGGAGCAGGAGGCGGCGCAGGCGGCGGAGGAGGAGGCGCGCGCAGCCTCCGCCGCCGCAAAGGCGGACGCCGTCGCGAAGGCCGAGGCCGAGCGCGCCTCCAAGGCCTCGTCGGGGGCGCCGGACGGCGACCCGTTTGAGGACGACGAGCCGGAGCCGCCGCCGCCGCCGCCGCCGCCGCCGCCGGAGAAGCAGCCGACGCCAGCGGATGGAGGGTACGTCGACCTCGAGACGCTCAAGAGCAGCCCGCCGGACTACGTCGACCCGTCGCGCAAGGAGGACTACCTCTCCGACGCCGACTTCGAGGCGGCCTTCAAGTGCTCGCGCGCCGACTTCAAGGCGCGAGATCGCGGGGCTCCCTCTGCCTCTCTGTGTCGCTCGCCCCCTCCCCCCTCTCGCGGGCAATCCCACAGCCCTGCCGGAGGCGGCACAGAGCCCCCCCCCTTGCCCCCTCCCCCCGCAGGTGCTCAAGGGCTGGAAGCAGCAGAACCTCAAGAAGGCGTGCGGCCTCTTCTGAGCCGGCAGCCGGCGCAGACACGCACCGCGCGAGGCTCGATTTCGAGGGGGTGTTCCTAGCTACCATCGTTCGCCCTCCTTCCATGTCATGCGCGCGCGATTTGGTCCCGCCCCGTCGTCGCGGATTGTGTATAGCGGCCCAGGGCCGTCGATGCGTCAAACGCACGGTCTGCGGTCTATCACGCTGCACGCCGAGGCCCATTGACTGAGAGGTCTTTGGCGAGCTTTGAGCTTAAATGAGCGTGTGACGCACGCGTACGGGGGGACTTAAAGCCGTCTCGTGCTCTCGTCCTTTTCGCTTTCTCAGCGCGGTTTTCTCCACCGACGTGTACATCGAGAGATATGAGATATCCCCTAGGCCTAAATTCAACTCCAACTGGAGGCCACGTAGGGCTACCGTAGGGACGTACGGCTTTACGCCCCGTGTGTATCCGACTGCGGCTCCGGCGCGAGCGCTCACCGGGACACCGCTCACGGCTTCAGCCTCGGGTGTCACTGGGTCAGGACGTGTGACGTACAAAAAAAACGCTCAAGTTTCATGACTCTCAACGCCGCACATAAGATCTTCCCCCCCCAAAACACAAAGAGCACAAGCATGATCAGAGCGCGAGAGAGGGTGGAGTGGCGTAGGAGGATCCTCTTCTGATACAATTTGGGTTGCCAGCCTGGCCGGG